GGGCCCCTCATGGGGCTCGGCAGTGGAGCTGCAAGGCCGGCGGCGGCCGGGACCGTTGGGGGCGGGGTGTGTGGCCTTATGACACACTTCCGGGGATGTCAGGGGGTGTGGCCTTATGACACACTTCCGGTGATGTCAGGGTGTGTGGCATATGCTAATGAGTTATGCCAATGAGTTCCCCTAGCTCTTTTTCTACGAAACGACCCCTCCCTAGACCAGCTGTTTTGGAGATGGAAGAAAACCACCCTAACTGCCTTGGATGGGTGAATGGGAGACAGAAAAAATGGTGTGGAGGAGAGGGAGACAGAAGAGAGAAATGGATGGATCAGTCAACAGAACGTAAATACGTAAACTAACGAGGCTGACAGTGGAGAGCGAGAAAACAAGAGCAGGAGGGGGGAAAACCTTAGCGCCTAAAACCTCCATGCAGAACAGGATGAGGCAAACTCTCTCTCTCCTCCTCCCCGCCGTATTCTAGGCACAGATTCCCGTGACACTCATTAATCTGCCTAATTTGATCCGATTGTTTTAAAAAGCACTTTCAATATTTGAATCCCTTAATCCCAAAGCCAAAGCTCTCTGCTGGTGTGAACCAGCCTCATCTTATTGTCGTCAACAGGGCTCGTTCCTCACATGGCAGAACCCCACTCTGGTACGCAGGACGGAAGGACGGTGGGGGGGAGAAGGAAACCTTACAGGTGATTCATGGGGACCAGTTCTGCTGCCAAACTTTTAGCCTGGAAATCAGCACGGGATGGTCCATGTACCCGCTGTTGAGATGGTTGTTTGGGGAGGGGAGTGACCTCATCAGGGTATATTGCCATAGAGTCCACCCTCCAAAGCAGCCATTTTCTCCAGAGGAACTAGTCCTGGTTGCCTGGAGATCAATTGTAACAGCAAGAGACCTCCAGCTGCGGCCTGGAGGTTGGCAACCCTACCTGTAGAATGAACACATGACGCTTTCCTTACACTGAATCAGACCCTTGGTCCATCAAAGTCAGCATTGTCTATTCAGACCAGTCTGAATAGGTCCCAGACTGGCTTTCACGTCACCTCCTACACAATCCTTTTAACTGCAGATGCGGGGGATTGAACCTGGGGCCTTCTGCACACCAAGCAGACGCTCTGCCAGTGAGCCACAACCCCTCCCTATCCAGGTTACAATGGTGAAAGCCATCTAGTTAATGTGGGAAGTTCTCCAAAGTCCCTGAAGACTCTGTGACAAATCCGCAATTCAAGGGGTTTTTGAGAAAGGGAGTTTCTCTCTCTTTTTGTCTCTGGAGGCAGAGAGATTTTCTTCTTCTTCTTCTTAAGAAGCAAGCCCGGTGTTCTGAACATTTTGTGTGCGTTACCTCTTGGAAAGTCTACATAATATACACAAACAGCACCCAATCACCCGGAGATCTACATTTTATCAAGTATCTACCACTGCCAAAGGAGCTGCGGTGGCTCAAGTGGTTAAGACGCTGAACTGCAGGCTGTGGAAGGTCAGTAGTGCAACAGTTCGAGACCCGGGTTGCCGCATGGCGGAGTGAGCTCCCGTCTCTAGTTCCAGCCCCTGCCAACCTAGCAGTTCGAAAGCAAGAAATTGCAAGTCGATAAATAGGTACCACTTCGGTGGGAAGGTAACAACGTTCCGTGCGCCTTGGTGTTTAGTCATGCCGGCCACATGGCCACGGAAACGTCTTCGGACAGCACTGGCTCTTCGACTTGGAAACGGAGATGAGCACCGCAACCCTGGAGTCGGATTCGACTGGCTTTCGAGCAAGGGAACCTTTACCTTTACCATTGCCAAGCCCTGACCTGGATGGCTCAGGCTAGCCCAATCTCATCAAATCTTGGAAGCTAAGCAGGGTTGGCCCTGGTTAGTACTTGGATGGGAGACCACTGAGGAAATCCAGGGGGTGCTCGGTGGAAGTGGTTGACGGCAAACCACCACCTCTGTTTGTCCCTTGCCTTAAAAACCCTCTGGGATCTCCATAAGACAGCGGCCACTTGAGAGCACTGTCCACCACTACCAAGGATAAGTACTCCTCACACTGCCATCCGAGGGGATTCATGCATATTTTTATCCACAGTTGTTGATGTCTGTCATTATTTGGGGCATTTGATGAATGAGTTTTTTTTTTAAAAAGAAATCTCAAAGAGAACTTCCAGTGTGGGGCAGCTGGGTTAGTCTGCTGCAGCCAACACAAAGAGGAGTTTGGGGGCACCTGAAAGACAAACAGACTTACCAAAGCATAAACCGCCATGGGCTGGAGCTCACCAAGGGTGCATTTGGGGGACTGGGCCATGGAAGTCTATGCATTAGTATACTTAGGCCCCTGCCACATGGCAGGGAAAACACTGGCCAAAGTGCGGCTTTTAAAAGCCGCACCAAAAAAGAGACGCCGCGGCGGGATCCCATGATCCCCTGAGCCGCAGCGCCGTTGCTCCCCGGCACGATCAGATGCCGGGGAGGAAGAGACGATTGGGAGGGGGAGGCTGCCGAACTGCGCATGTTCAAGCATGTGCAGTACGGCCGGGGGCCAGGGATGCGCCGGCGGAAAGACGCGCCGGCGATCCCACGGCTGGCAGTGATGCGGCCTTTCGGAAAGAACCACCTAGGTAGGTAGTTCTTTTTTGCTGCGGGGTTTGGCCAGGAGGGGCGGATTGGGAACGGGCTGGGAACGGGCGCAGCACGATTCCCAGATGTTGCTGTGGGATCGCGCCCATTTGCTGCGGCCCCGATCCGTCCCTCTCCCGGCTCGTGTGAACAGGGCCTTATTTATTTGTTCCTGCCTTATCTCCTCAGACTCAAGGCAGCATATGTTAGTCTTAAATCCGTCAGTCTTGAAGGTGCCACAAAGTGTCCTTCCTAAAATGGAAGGACTGTAGTATGGTAGTGAACACACCAAAGGCTTCAGTCACTGGTATGTCATGCCAAGATGTCACGGAGCATATTCTCTTACTCAGACTGGTGATCGTGTCCCAAATACAAACACACTAATAATGTCAACGCCCGCTTCAATATGGAGACGGCACTCGGTTGTCACCGCCTTGCTGCCCTATACGCCGAGGCATTCGCAGCAGCAACAGAGCATCCACACCAGAAGATTTTTGGCTTTGTCTTCCCTAAATCCATGTGGGGAGGGAAGACAGCATGGTACAGCCCGATCTTGTCGGATCTCGGAAGCCAAGAAAGGGTCAGTACTCGGAAGGGAGCCCACCAAGGAAGGCGCTGCAGAGGAAGACGACGGCAAACCGCCTCCGCTTCCCACTTGCCTTGAAAGCTCCTTGCTGGGGTCGCCAGAAATCAGTTGTGGATTGATGGCATCATGTATGTATATCCTTGCGCCCGCCATTGCCCCCTGCAGTGCCAGAGGGCTTTTTAAAATAAAATGGTAGTAGGGATATACCTGCTCCTGATTTTTAAAAAAAAAAAAACCAGCAGGGAAGAAGAAGAAGAAGAGATTGGATTTATACCCCACCCTTCACTACCCAAAGGTGTCTCAGAGCGGCTTACAAACTCCTCTCCCTTCCCCTCCCCACAACAGACGCCCTGTGAGGTGGGCGGGGCTGAGAGAGCTCTTGACACAAACTGCTCTTTCAGGAACTGCTGTGCCAGAGCTTGTGACTGACCCAAGGTCACATCAGCAGGTGCAAGTGGAGGAGTGGGGAATCAAACCCGGTTCTCCCAGATTAGAGTCCGCGCACTTAACCACTGCACCAAACTGGCTCTCTACGATGACAGGTGTGAGCAGATGGGATGAAAGATGACAGTGGACGAGGGCAGGAAAGGTTTCAAAATCTGCCCCTTTTCATCCACATATGGGCAACCCTGATTTGACTCTGATCTTTCCTGAAAGATTGGAACAAGGCTGGTTTGGGAAGCACTGGGGGGGGGCAGAGTTCCAGAAGCCCCGGGGGGTTGCCGGGTCCTCCCTGGATACTGGCAGGGGGTGGGAGGGGCAGGGCTGCCAGATCCGGGTTGGGAAACGCCTGGAGATTTGGGAACTGAGCCTGGGGAGGACAGAGACTTTCTGTGGGGTACGATGCCACAGAGTCCACCCTCCAAAGGATCCATTTTCTCCAGGGGAACTGATCTCTGTGCTCTGGAAATAAACTGTAATTCCGGGGGATCCCCAGGTCCCACCTGGAGGCTGGCATCCCTAGAAACCACAGAATGTAATGGAAGAGGAATGAGCAGAGAACAACGTTGTGAAGATGCTCCAAAAAAGATCCCCATTCCAGTTTGGGGAAAGGGTGGAGCAAATCTTCCATATGGAATCACCCCCAGATCAGGATGCTAGCAAATCTGGTCTAATTCTGAGGGGTGGGTGGGAGAGCCTTAAGCCAAATCTGAAGCACTGCCAGCTCTGGCGTGAGAAATTCCTAGAGATCTGGGAGCAGTCCCTGGAGAGTGACTTCTGCTTCTCCCTAGACTCTCTAGGACATACCACAGAGTCTGCCTTTTGAAGTTGCCATTTTCTCCACGGGAACTGATCTCTGTCTGCTGGAGACCAGTTGGCATTCCAGGAGAACTCCAGCCCCCACTTGGAGGTCGATGGCCCTACAAATCTGTTACCCCTGGAAGTAAGATTAATTGAGAGAGAAATTGCATAGAAGAAAGGTGGAAGATGCTACCAGTACCAGGCTGATTCCTGATGGATGGCTGTCTCAGATGGGACAGCGTTCTCCAAAAGACACACTCGGTCTGCAGGAGGAGGCAGGGGGCAGGTTTGGTGCAAGGGGCTGGCACACAGAGCACTTGCAGTCAATAGAATTGTCAATGGAAGGGGCAACAGGGTTTCATGGATACCCCCCCCCCCCAAGAGCCAATGAAGAGAGGCCACTTCTGTCCGTCTTTATAGATGGAGGAGGAGGAGCTGGAAGCGGAGGAGAGTTGGATTTATACCCCACCCTTCACTCAGAGTCTCAGAGTGGCTTACAATCGCCTTCCCTTCCTCTCCCCACAACAGGCACCCTGTGAGGTAGGTGGGGCTGAGAGAGCTCTGTGACTGACCCAAGGTCACCCAGCTGACTGCATGTGGAGGAGTGGGGAATGAAGCCCAGTTCTCCAGATTGGAGTCCACCACTCTTAACCACTACACCAAAGTGGTACGGACAACAACAGATGCAGTTTAGCCGGTGCCTCTCCCAAGTCTTTGGTGGTAGGTTAGGCACAGGCTCCCCCCACCCCATCCCGGTCATGTTGGCACCCCAATGTGGGACAAATTAAGGTTGCAAGAACTCTTTCCGGATCCACAGTAAAACAGCAAGGAAGCGTCAGGAGGTGTGAAGATGTGCCGGGATAAAGAGCCAACTTAAAAAGATAAATTATTTATACGAAGCCCGGAGTCTCGCATCCACATCTTTTTAAAGGATGCTTGGAAAGGAAGTGTAAAAAAAAGGGGGGGGGGAGCTGTAAAAAGAGCTGAGGGCACATGAGGAGAGGAGAGGGCTGGGAGGACATCTCCCCCCCCTCTGCATCATCATCATCATCATCATAATAATAATAATAATAATAATAATAATAATAATAATAATAATAATAATAATAATAATAATAATAATAATAATAATAATAATAATAATAATAATAATAATAATAATAATAGATTGGATTTATACCCCGCACTTCACTTGGAGTCTCAGAGCGGCTTACAAACTCCTTTCCCTCCCCCTCCCCACAACAGACACCCTGGGAGGTAAAAGAAGAAGAAGAAGAGATTGGATTTATACCCCGCCCTTCACTACCCAATAAGCCTTTCCCTTCCCCTCCCCACAACTGACACCCTGTGAGGTGGGTAACGTCTCAGAGACAAGGCTGCAGGAGAGGGGGAGGCTGCTGGCGTCCTACATTCTGCATGACCAGAAAACCCAGATTCTGTAATTGAATTGGGCAAAGTCAATTTGACACGAGCACACTTCATCAGCGTCATTTGACTCGGTTTCAAAGCGGGAGGGGTTGGTGGAGCGTCTGCTGTGGTGCCTCCATAGTCAGAGGCAGTGAACCTCTGCATACCGGTGCGAGGAGTCAGCCCCTTGGGAGAGCCTCCGTTTCTCTGTTCTGTCTGTTGGCTGCCGTGGGGAACAGGATGCTGGACTAGATGGACCACTGGGGGGTTTGATCCCGCAGGGCTCTCCTTTTTGTGTTCATAAGATGGGATCTGGCCACAGGACTTAGGTGCTGAGATTAAAACCACTGATCGTGTGCTGGGGGTAGGGCTGCCAACCTCCAGGTGGGGCCTGGGGATCTCCCAGAATTACAACTGATCCCCAGACTACAGAGATCAGTTCCCCAGGAGAAAACGGATGCTTTGAAGGGTGGACTCTGTGGCATTATGCCCTGCTGAGGTCCATCCCCTCTCCAAACCCCGCCCTCTCCAGGCTCCACCCCCAAACCTCTAAGAATTTCCTGTCCAGGAGCTGGCAACCTAATGGGGGTGAAATTCAGTTTACAGTGCCAAAACACCAGATGAGTAAACCCAGATTTGAAGTATTTGAGCTTCGTACTAGATATGTAGCGAGGAGGACAACCTTGGCTGGTACCTGGGGGTCCATAGCCTGGCATTGGGCCCATCGTTGACCAGAGAGGGAGGCCCAGTCCATTCCCACCAAGAACAAGAGATCATTCCAAGACCTCTGTGACGTCTTATGAGCCTTTTGCTCTGCTGATGGGGCTTAAAAAGGTAAAGGTTCCCTTGCTCGAAAGCCAGTCGAATCCGACTCTAGGGTTGCGGTGCTCATCTCCGTTTCAAAGCCGAAGAGCCAGCGCTGTCCGAAGACGTTTCCGTGGTCATGTGGCCGGCATGACTAAACACCAAGGTGCACGGAACGCTGTGACCTTCCCACCGAAGTGGTCCCTATTTATCTACTTGCAATTTCTTGCTTTCGAACTGGTAGGTTGGCAGGAGCTGGGACTAGAGATTGGAGCTCACTCCGTCATGCGGCACCCGGTTCTCGAACTGCTGAACTACTGACCTTCCACAGCCCTGCAGTTCAGCATCTTAACCACTTGAGCCACCATGAAAATGATTGTGCTCTACTCTTTCCTCCTGGGGTGTGTGTGTGCATGCGTGGGGTGTGTGTGTGCAAACACATAGGGGCAGTGTGCTCAGCGGGGGGCGTACTGGAGGGCATCATGCCCAGAAGCCCCCCAACTTACAACTGCTCTGCAGAGTGAGCGTTTCCCACTGGAAAGGATGAACCCTGCCACCCACTGTTGTATAAAGAAGCTCAATCCAGAATTGAGAGCCAGTGTGATACAGTCGCTCGACTAGGATCCGGGGGACCCAGGTTCAGATCCCCA